TATTCCATGATGGTTGCCCCATTTTGTTGGCATGAAGCAAGGGTGGGTCCTGTCCACACTCAAAGGGAGGGGATTGCAGGAAAGGGCAATGCCAGAAAGCACGAACCTCAGAGGCCACCTGCAACTCTGTCCTTTGCAAATACTTGCTGAACGATTTACTGTGCCACAAGTGTTAAATTGTGATGATTATGGTACAAATTTAAGAAAATCACTCCCACATGCAAGCAACAGAAGACATTGGAAGATGGTATTTGGGTCCTACAACAGTGACAGACCTTTGGAGAAGAAAAGACAAGTGTGGGTGGAAGTAGTTGAGGAAAAAACAACTGCGCTGAATGTGTACATTTTTCTTGTCATTGTGCCCTAAATGATACAGAATAACAACTGTTTATGTAGCATTGACATTTCATTAGATATTGTAAGTAATCTAGAGATGACTTAAAGTACACAGGAAGATTATGCAGGTTCACACGGAAACTAGACCATTTATATAAGGGCTTCCGGCACCTGCAGATTTTGGTGTGTGAGGGGTCCTGGAACCCATGCCCCATGCATGCTGAGGAATGAGTGGATTAAGAAGCTGATAAATGGCCCTTGTCCATATGGTCTCGTGCTCCTGAACTGTCCTCTCCTTCCAATCCATCTAAACCGAGCGTGGAGCTGCCTTCCTGCAGGCTGAGGCTGTGACCTATCTCTCCGGAGGAGCACACGCTGCGAGAGGAGTTTGTGATGTGACTGATTAATTCTTTACAGAATAAAAATACTTTAACATTTGCATTTTTAATTATGTGAAAGAAATCTGGAAAGCGAGGGCAGAGCTTTCAGATCCAGAATTCAAAGCAAGGGAGGATAACCACTTATGTCTTTAATGAGGCAGCACCATCTCTGTGTACACGCTCTTTTCCATGAAAGAAAGAGAAAAGACCAAAGGGAGCAGATGAGTGGGTCAGGCTCTCCACGGTCTTCAGAAGAAGACACTGCTCTGTCTATTCCAAGAGAAGCGATGGGGTTGAGGGGTGTGAATGTGCTTGCATTTGGGTCCTGCGGCAGCCACAGACAGTTTAAGAAGAAAAAACAAATGTGGGTTGGAGTAGTTCCAAAAGGTTCAGGAAGTGAAATTTGATTTTTTTGACTTACTAAAAAAATGAGGGAAGAGGCTGTGAAAGGTAGCAAGATGTGAGCCCTCTCTTGAGCCAGCACGAGAGAACTAGGGAAGCAATACGGAGAAAAGACTGCATCTGCAGAATATAAAGGACAGGCCTACGGGCCACAGGCCGGCCACCCACAGGCCTATTTTGTTTGCCCTACCTAGAATTTAAAAAGAATATAAGTCTGCTTTTGAATTGGGGGTGAAAAAAAATGCATTCCTGACTTTTATTTTTGAAACTTAGAAGGCACCACCAGCTCTGGGACCCCCACTTGGCTCCTCTCACAGCAGGCTCCCCTTCCTTCCTTAGCTGTAGCCATGGAGGTGTTGGAATTTGCCCCAGCCAGGAAGCCTATCAGCGTCATTTTCCAAGTTGTGTGTCCACGCCTGCACCAGTTTCCAAATGGATGTGGGTTCCTGGGCCCTGCCCTAGGCTGGCTGAATGAGCACATAGAAGATGAGCCTCCAGGATTAGAGGTTTCAACGAGCTCCCTGGGTGATCCTCCGGCACACAGAACGCGCGTGGAAACCGCTGCCGCGTGGTTCCTGGGCAAGGGCTGGGTAAGCGGGCAGCAGGCCCCATGCTCAGCTCCTATGGCTGACAGCAGAGAGTTCTCGCCTGCCTGTGATCGCGTGCTTCACTGCCTGTTGGAAGCACCTTTCAGTACCCACTTGCCATTCCAAAGCCCCACATGCTGTGCAGTCTGCTCTCAGAGGGAATGGTCTGACCCGTGGGATTTGCACAGAGAAGATCTGGGTTCTGGGCAGTGCGGGGTTGCATTGTGCGGTGCATGCTGATTTGGGAGTCTGCAGTGTGGAGTCCAGGGAGGCTTCCTAACTCCATTAGTAAAAAGTTCAGATCACAAAGAAGCAAAACCAGTATTGTTCACTTAGTTAACATACACACGCTTGCACTCTTCATTTGAGCTAATAAACCATTGTGTAAGAGGATGCAGAGTAAGGGTATTGTACCAGGCTGTCATCTGTGTCTGTTTATACAAAAAAGCACCTCCAATTGTCGATCTCAACAGTGCCATTCAGATCTAAAGCATGCAAAATATCTGGAAGTCATGTTTTACTGAGTTCTCATTAAAAGTCTTATTGTCTCACCAATCTGACTGACTTAGGTACTATTTTTATTGTATTGCCCACAAAAAAAAAGAAAGAAAGAAAAGCTAATTGGGATGTGTAGGGATTCATCGCTATTGCTAGTGACTATTTAAAATTCCCTTCAGAAGAGCTTTGGAAGCCCACACCTGAATTGCTGGCCCGTCACATCCTGGCCTGAGAAGCAGAGCTGAGCGTTGCGATGGTCGCATCTGATGGAGCTGCAGTTCCACCTGCAGACTGCCAACTGCTGCTCCCCAGGGTGCTGGATGGGCTTCCAGGCTTTGGAAATCATCATCAATCATGAAATCACTGCAGCCTGTTTTCCAGGTTCAGACCTGAAAGTGGCCTTGCTAATCTTGGACAAGCCAATCAGCTTTCTCTCTAGAGCAGAGAAAGAAAGGCGCAAAGGAAAGGAGGGGGAGACAGCGGTCTCATTAGCTGCTTTGGAAATATCAGCAGAAGTGACTTCCAGAGCTCATCTTTTACTCGGAAAAAACATCGAGGTCAACAGCATTTAAAATTAAGGACACCGGGTCAGCTTACTTTGTTGGGAGAATGGATGTTTACTTAATGCCACACAGCAGGAGGTCAGTTTTTATCAATGGTGTGAAGCTCATGAGCCTAAAAATTTCTAGGGTTAAAATCACGCATAACAATAACAGAAGTATTTCTGGTTAGACTTGTAAAATACTTTGTCAGTCAGGCCTCCTGCCATTTTCCTGTTAAAAGCTATGATGTATGTTAGGAACAAAACAGGCACAGCTGGAAAAGTGGCAGTGACGTTAATGGGTGCTCACTCTCCTCCTTTGTCTCAGGGATGTGGCTATTCTCTGCACCATCACAGTCTCAGAGACAGAAGAAGGAGCTTTATAGGGCAGGCATTATACTGGGCAGCCATCACTGAACATTTATGTGTTGGAGCAATATAAGGTGCTGGATAGAACCCCATGAGAATAAGAACCCGCCTACCCCAAGACTGGAGGAAAGTTTCAACACTGTACGCAGAGTGGGCTGAAGCCTCACACTGTCCGACAGCATATTTTACAGACCTATTAACCCTTAACGTTCTTGGGCTGATCAGCTCAAGAGATCTGCCAGCAGAAAACACTGGGAGGACAAAGCTTTCATTGACGGCAGAAATAATTAAATTGGAGGTATTGTCAGAATATTCTAGAAGCACGATTGAAATTGCCAGAAACATGAAGGAGACAGGGACTCTTCCCGATGGAGTCTCTCATGAAAAACCACTCCATAGTTCTAGAAGATGTGCATATCATACTCCTATGCATGCATATTTTATTTATTTGAGATTTTTAAACCTGTTTAATTCTTCTAAGTAGTTGGAAGGAGCTGTAGCCATGTCTGTCTGATAATTTTTATATTCTAGTTTGGCAGACTTTTCTTTTCCCACCCTGCCTGTCACAAATTGCACCTCCCAGGAGGGTGTGCTCCAGTGGTGCTCAGGCACGCATCAAGTGGCCAGGGTGACGTGTTTTTGTGAGAACATAGGATCTTCTTGATAGCCTGCAGGTTCTTATTCGGCCAGCAGCTTGGAGGGAGCATGTGATCAGCATGAGGCTGTCTGTCCTCCACAAGCCTCAAGTTTTCTTGGACAGACAGAATAAGCCCGGTGTGTTAGTGTTTGCTGCGCCTTCATGTCCTACTGAGTGAAGGGGCCAAAAGGGCTACGACACTTAGACTGACTTTATTTTAGCTATTTATCTGTGCTGTTCTGTTTTGGAATTTGCACATGTTTTACAAAGGAGAAACTTTGGAGCCTGATACATTTTATTAAGCAGTACACGTGGTGTGGTAATGGAAGAACTGTCCTGTGAGCCAGCAAGTCTGAATTCTAGTCCCACTTTCCCTGCTGGACTGCTGGGAGACTTCAGAGAAGCCACTCTTCTCAAATGTCACTTTCCATATGTGTGTGTGTGTGTGTGTGTGTGTGTGTGTGTATGTGGGTGTGGGTGTGAAATATTACTTTTTGTACCAATCATAGAAGATCTTTGTGAATATAAAACAAAATTCAATGCTTTGCAAAAAGAAAGTATCATCATTAATTACATGGTTACCTTGTGCTAACGCTAATACCTGAGCTTACTTAAATGTTTTTCATTTATGCCGTGAGCATTGCATTTTGTCCATAGACTTCTGCATGACTCATAAAAGGGAACTCTTTATAATGACATTATGAAAATAACACTGTGCATCTGGAAGGCTAGGCTCTGTGCTGTCATCTCACTTGGCTATCACAGCTGTGACGTTTAGAACAACATTATTATCTCTATTTCATACCTAAAGAAACTTTGGCTCAGAGGGATGCAGTGCCCTAGTCTAAGGTGAGGGAGCTGGGCCTGACCCTGGTGTTCCTAACACTAAAGTCGTGTCTTTTTCTAAACAGCTTCACTGCCAACACTGTATAAGGATTCAGGAAAAAAATGCAACTTTCAAAGAATAGTGTACAAAGCCAGGCACTATATACTATTCAACAGCAAATATATATTGTAGAACATCAAATATATACTGTTCACCCTCTTAGAGATCCATCTGAAGTAATTCAACTAAGCATAAATCCAAAGAACAAAATGAAAACATTTTAAATGCCCAGGTACTGTCTTAAAAATTCCCCTCCTCTTAAATAGCGTCATTTCATAACAAGTTGCCGTTTTCCCTAGCAGTTGTACTTCACAGATAATAAAATTTCCGAAGGATGTTCACTGTCACCCCTTCTCTCTTTCAGCAACAGATCGACTCCCAGCAACCACGACCGGATACAGCGTCTGCGGCAAGAATTTCAACAAGCGAAGCAGGATGAAGATGTTGAAGATCGGAGACGTACCTACAGCTTTGAGCAGCCCTGGGTAAGCACTGAATTTGGTTCTTCAGCACAGTGAAGCATCATGCAAGTTCCCTGCAGTAAAGACCCCTGAGCTATGACCTCAGTCTTTCATGAAATGAGACGCAATGGAGCCAAATTCCTTTGACCTTTAACATATTGACCTCTCCCTCATTTCCGTCTGAGTTTCGTCATTGCTAATTTCATTTTATGCCTTGTTCCACCATCTGTCCATTGCATAATAGGTCTAATTAGCTGTGTGACAAGACATAGAAAATGTATTCTTGTTCTCTACTGTGCATTTTTATTAAGTTTAGTAAATATTTTTCTATAGATTCATTTTTCTCAGAATCAGAACCACGACAAGCTCAACACAATCTGTTTATGTCTAATAGGCACAGAGTCAGGGTATAGTCTTCTTGAGTTTTGCTAGTGTGCTATACTATAGATTGAATAGAGAATTCTTGCACTAAACTACATCCCAAGTCCTTTTTAATATTTTTATTTTGAGACAGAGTTTTGTTACATGCTACATTGCTGGCCCTGAACTCTAGCTGGTGATCTTCCTGCATCGGCTTCCCACAGTGCTAAGATTACAGGGATTGCACCACACCTGGTTTAGTAGTTTTTGCTTCTTCCTTCCCCCTCATTCCCTAGGTTATCTGTTAAATCCCTCTCAGCCTTTGCATCTCAGTTTCACTCCCTCCTCCACACAGCCACAGAATAAGAACAAAACTTAGATTGGCTCTAGATGCCTGTGTCTTCACCTTGAGTTCTTCGCTTAATAAAGGCAAGTTGGAATGGAGTGGAATGGAGGTGTAGGAGCAGGTTGAGAGTTTAAAATGATAAGGATTTTTAAGAATAAGGATTTCTTTGGGAAATATGAGAGAGAGTCTCTTTGGGCTGAACAAGGTTAGAGAATCTAGCCCTGAATATGAGCAAGTCCAGCCATTACGATAATGCAACAATAACTAGCAGTGCTTAGGGGACTGCGGATAATCAAAACATATTTGTAATTCAATCTGCACTGGAGGCTGGCAAGACAGAGCAGGCAGCTGAGAGCCCAGTGAGGGCATGGGAGGCCTGCCCTGACTGGGGAAGGTGGTAAGGACAGCTCGGAAGGATTGTCCTGCTAGATAAGGAGCAGATGAAGAGATGTCAAAGGCCTAGGGGTTATCAAGCCCAAAAGGTTGTGATCAAAGAGTTTTCTGGCTTCTAGGATCTTTGAAGGTAGCGAAGTTCTGGATGAGGTTGAAATCTAGGGGGTGTCACCTATGGGTGTGCATTATAGGAGCAGAGGAGAGATTAGTGAGTCCAGTTTAGATAGAGTGCTTGGAATGTAATTAATTCCATGGGACTTTTGAGAGGAGAGGAGCCAAAAGAAGAACAGTGTTACAAAAGACTTGAAGCACAATAGATGACCCAGTTGGGGCAGGGAGTAGGGGGATAAACTGCTCAGCTGAAGAAGGACCAAGAAGTTGGTTATGTTGAAGGAAGTGGAGATTAAAGGCAGAGAAGAAACAGGAGCTTTCGATGCTGGAGTGAAAGCTAGTAGAAAATGGGACCAGGACCAGAACGCTGGTATACTAGTTAGTTGGCCTGGCTCCTCAGGCCTCAGATTTCTTATTTTTAAACCAAGAAAATCAGAGTAGATGACTGTGGGTTACTACATGCTGTGACAGCATGAGAACTGAAGGGGAAGCTGAGTGTGAAAAGCAGATGTGAGGAGGGCTCCTTGGATTGGATGCCAGTGACTCTGAGGACCCAGCGATGATTGCTGTGCACCGGAGCTTCTCAAAGTGCAGTCCACAGCCCAATCTCCAGCATTGCCTGGACACATGCTGTGCACACGCATTCCTAGCCCTGCTTCAGACCCGCCAGCTCGAGCCTGGAACCTGTACTTCTGTGTGCTCTCTAAGGTGGAGACATGGTCAGCTTTGAAAAGCACCATTCTAGAGTCTAATGGTATTTGAGATCATTTTTGGTCCTAATATCTAAGAGATTTAATGATTATATTGGAGGTGAGGAAGGTTCATTTGCAGGATTAAAGAAGGGAAAAAAATAGGAAAAGCTGTGCCCGTGAAAGTGTTCACCTTAGTGTATTAAAGGAAGGTTGGGCCTTAAAACTGGCCGTGTAGGACCAACTTCCAGGAGTAGAAGTACTTCAGAAAATCAATCCTTGGCATGCTTGTGGGACAGTATTAAGCAAGTTCAGCAGTTCTAATGGCTAGGACAATCTACAGTTTGTCTTCTGTTATTAATGCTATTTTCCTAAAGTCTTTACTTTTCTAGCTGGTCAAGTAAATGGAGTCATTTCCGCATAGCAACAGGGCAAAATTATGTTGATCTAATCATATTGATATAATTGGTTCCATCTACTCCTACCAAGTTTATTATAGCAAGGTTCCCCACACCCAACCATTAGGAGCAGTGTTGGGCTGTTTTGCTTTCCCTGGTAATGTGGTTCTCAAACTAGCATCTTCACAACATTTGTTCTTTAATTACTTAATTCATTAAACTCACTGAGTACGTACTGTGTCCCAGTGTGGTGCCGGAGAGCAGCCCTGGGAAGCATGTCCTTAGACTTTGTGGTCTTGCTGCTACAAAGCAGAGGGACACCTTGTAGAGTGCAGAAAAGTATAATAGGATAGGCATGGGGCCGAGACACGAGAGGAGAGAGGTTGTGGTAAGTTTTGGGTGGACAGGAAGAGCTTGAAGGAACCCCCTCTCTGAAGTCAGTATACAGATTTGAGAAATACAGAAACATATCCTTGGGAACTAAGATTGATAAATTTATTTCTGATTGCCTACGTTGTCATCTATGTCCAGAATTCCAAATTTGATGCTAAATGAGCATTCCCTGCTTCTTAAGTCTAGATGTGTTTCATTGAGCGAAGTAAAAAAAAATTGGAAACCTATTTGAGGGCCTTTTATAGGATTTTTAAAATAAGGACAATGAAGATTATAAGACTTTTAAAATAAGAACTGACATTTCTCTGTTATTTACTTGTAAGAACAGTCACATTAGGGAATGCGTTTGGGAGTCTTGTACACTTGAAAACGCGATAACTGCAGGTCTGGCGCCAAATTGTTATGTATTAAAATTGCCATTGCAACTTTAGACAGACAGCATGGCTGTATCATTGTTTCCTGTAGTGAATGAGCAGGGAATTATTTTGATGACAGGCTGATTACCTAAGAAATGGAATAATTCCCTAATTTATGGGTCAGAATTTGACCTTTCTCTTTTTGTTCATTTTCATACAATTGGGAGCTTGCTGCGGACTCTTGTTCTACTGATCAAGCAAAGGAGCTTAAGGGAGCCACAATTTTATTTACCGTATTAATTTTCCTACTAGTTTGATCAATACTTTAGTAAAAGTTGCTCAGCTGTTCACTTGGGCTATGGTTTTATTAATCCATTTTGCAAAATGAGCTTTGGAACTCTTGGAGTCTCTCCTCTCGTCCTGGACATGGGCCGCCCTTGCCAGTCGCTATGCCGGGAAAGGACAGCATGGTCTCACTCACTGGGGTGGTTTGTCATTGTTTCAGTGGTAAAGACCTACAGACTCATCCCCAAGCTGTGTGCACAGCTCAGGCGGCACAAGGCGAACTTCCGCTTGGTAGAAATGTGCGCACACAAAGTACAAGCAGATGTGTCTGAGAAAGATCCAAGCCAGTGACTCTATAGATAGAGAAGTCATCCAAGTAGCCCTTTTCAGCTCGTCTGTCTCGAGCATGTATGGGATGCACCTGTTCGTGAGCTTTTGTTCAGAATAATTTTGGGGCCTGAGGGAGCTGATTTGTGGCACAAAAGGTTTTTAGATGAGCAGAGGCCCAGAAAATTTCCTTAGCTCTCTAATTGAAGTGAATTCTCTCACAAGTTGAAGAGAAAAAGGAAAATCAGCTTCTTCCTCTCTCAGTGCCAGGTGCAACCTAAGTGGAGCAGCAAGTTGCTTTAAATCTTTCCTAAGATAATGGAACAATAGGTAAGGCGGGGGTTATTATCACTGAGCTCAGATATGGACAGGACTTAGTGTTGCTTTTAAAAGAATTAAATTGCCGGCTGCACACGTAAGTACAGTATGCTGGTAAAACTTTGCAGATACCTGAGTGTCACCCACAAGGAGACTTGTGGGCTGAGACGACTGATAGATGGGATAATGGAGCCTTTAATAGCTGTATTGCTAAATCCTTTCCATCCCGGGTCAGTAGTGACTGAATGTAGTTTAGTCCTTCAGGTAGAAAATTGACACTCCACAGTGTGAATATCCTGCTCACCCCAAGCATGGGCTATGCCTAGACCTCTGTCTTTGAACAAATTCTGCCCTGTGCTCCATTTTCCTGTCATCTCCTTCTTACCCTTTTAGGGGTTTGCCTGTCTAATTGGTGAGCCACTCTGCAGCCCCACATTGCCACCCCTGTGCCTGGGGAATTGTAGAAAATTGTGGCGTTTTTCTTTCATCCTTTTTAAGACTTGAAAGGCATCTGCTGTCATTTCTTCATGACAGTTTCTATCCCTAGACTAAAAAATTCTCCCTTTTCAGAGAGCCTCACTGTGCAGCCCCAGCTCAAACGGAGTGGAAGTCCCCTCCCTCAGAAGCAGACCTGGAGAGAGCTGTCCTCCCACACAGTCAGCCTCTGCCCTTCCACAGTAGGCTGTTTCTCAACCCTGAGACCAAGCCTCCTTGTCCCTCAGGCCAAACCTCCCGCTGCATCTGGCTGGTTTTCCAGAACAACCAACCCCTGCACTTTCAGCACACCTATTGCTAAAGGTGGAAAAATAAAATCAATCCAAGCACTGGTGGGAAAAGTGAGAAGAAGAAGATAAGACTGTATTAAGGCCAGATCACGCATTCATAAATATTTTTTTATGAGGGAAACAGTTGCGCAGGTGTTTTTTTCAGCCATTCTTGAGATCCTTAGTAGAAATGAAGCTTTTAGCCCTTCAGAACTCTAAAGAGGTCACAGTTAATGTGATGAGGTGGAAGACTGGAGAGGCCAGGACAGATGCAAGTTAACTTTGCTTTGATTAAAAGTTGTAAGTAAGTGATTATAGAAAATAAGTGTAGCTAGGCATGGTGGCTCATGCTTGTAATCTTAGGAGTCTGGCAAGCTCAGGCAGGAGGTTGGCAAGTTTGAGCCAGCCTAGGTACCACCCTGTCTCAAAAACTGAAAAGAGGGCTTGGGATGCATTGCTCAGTGCAGAGGCCCTGGGTTCAGCCCCAGGACTGGGTTGGGGTGGGAGGAGAAGGAAGAAAAGGAGGGAGAAAGGAGGGAGGAGGAAGGGAGAGCCAGAAGGCATTAGAACTACTCCAATATACCAATATTAACAGTGTTCGCAATGCCCACTTTTCAGCAGGACAGTTATATGATTGAATGGCATAAAAATTATTTCTCCCATATATCAAAGTTTTAAATTGCCATTTTATCAATATAACATTCTGTATTAGGGTTTCATTTGAATTGCTAAAATGAGGATTATAGGGCTGCGGAGATAGCTCAGCAGCATAAGCGCGTGCTTGGCAAGTACAAGGTCCCGAGCTCGATATGTCGTATCGCCTGCTGTGACGGCCCCAGAACTGGGCATGGTGGCGCACACCTATAATCCCAGCGCTGGGGAGGCTGAGACATGAGGATCACTATGAGTCTGAGCTGAGTAGTAAGACCCTGTATCATTAAAAAAAAAAAAAAAAATTGTAAATCTTAAAGTAGCATATGTTTTTATCAGTAATGTCATTGCCGTTATCTTCAGCATTAGGTTTCATCTAAAGCCCAAAACCTGTTTGCATTTTGCTTTCTGTGAATGTTCCTGAAAAGATGTGAAAATTTGAACTCTTTTTTGTGATTCTTAATTTAAGAATCACAAAATCATTTATAAGACAACTTAGATGTGTGTGTGTGTGTGTGTGTGTGCGTGCGTGCGTGCACGTACTCAGGCTTATAACCTATCTTATCTATAAGAAGAAAAATGATTGTGTGCTTTTAAGTTGTTGGATATTTTATGTGAATGTTAATAAAATCAATAATGATTTTATTATGACAACGTACTTTTAAAGTAAGATAATTAGAATCCTTACGTTATTTCCTAGTTTTATATACTACTGTAACTTTATACTATGTGTATTTATACTCATTAGCCCACTAACTGCAATAATTTTATTTGTATTTTCTTTCTATTCTGGGAAAGAAACAAAGAATGATTTTAATTGAGAGAAATGAAAATGTATAGCTTCCTCAACTTTTACTTAATGTCTTTTTATAAGGATGACAAAGTCAAGTATTTTGTAGTTCATTTTCAAAAGAAATGTGTGTATTTTTTACTTGTGCTTTTAAGCGTAGGCTACAAAGAGATCCCACTGTACTCTGTAGTAATCATGTGTTTATTTCTATCTTACTGCCTCTACTGTTACTCTGGCCTTGGCATTGTTGGCTGTTTTTTACTTAAAAGGCCATTTCTTATATCCAGTTTCATCACACAAGGCCCAGTTATTTGTAAATTCCTGTTAAAATGGAGCTTCTCCTCAGTGGCCGGGAACCCTGGCATCAGCCAGGTGTGCCGCCTTGGTGTTTCCCCTTGTGCTTGTGACTTGTTCCCCGAGTCCTTTCTTTGAATTGTTTTGTTTTGGGTTTTTTGTTGTTGTTGTTTTGTTTTTTTTTGTTTGTTTGTGTGTGTGTGTGTGTGTGTGTGTGTGTGTGTGTGTGTGTATTTAGGACACGGTCTATTGGCTCTACAGGGTCTCACTGCATAGATCGAACGTGTAGTGACCCGACTGTTTACAGCCTCCCAAGTACTGGGATTACAGGCGTGCGGCCCCCGTGCCAGTCTCAGCCGCATTCTCATTGTGTCTGGGGGCGGGGCCCACACGGCCTTTCTTTGAAATCTATGCATTTCTTCAGGAAGTTTCAAGCTTTCTCCTCTATTTTTGTGATTTTGAACTTCGATACATGATTCTGCTTCTGTCATGGAAGTGGAAACTTTAGGTAGGATTGTTGATTATAAAACTGGCCTCATAATTTACATAGTTATGTAGTCTTTATTAAAATCATTAATGAGAGAGGTTAGTTCTATTCAGCTCAAATGTAAAACTGGCTAAAAATTATGGACTGGTCACGGGTATGATTTTCTTTAAAATATATAGTCAGTTAGAATTTCTTCTCAACAGTAAAAGTGATGCTGCCTACTAACCTGCCATTTTCATGCTCTGAAGAGAGAGACAGAGCAAAACTTAATGGGGAGGCTGATGTTTGCATTTCATCTTAGCAAGCATGTGAGTATGAAACATGTCAGTTTGTGGATATCAAACTCTCTTCGTTAAGTTTACAGCCCTGTAGCCCAGTAGTTTTATTCCTGGAGCTCATCAAGACGCAAATTGATTGCCTATAACTGATAGACTTTGCGCAGAGTGGTGTCAGAAAACTGAAGCTGAGAAACAAATGAAAAAAAACTCTTCAGCTTTTTTTTCTTCCTCTGTCAGAATCAGATTTTCAGGTTGTTAGGAGAAACAGCTTAAAAATATACCTGAAATTTCCACACGACCTTGCATTTTCTTCTCACATCTCCTCAGCAGTGTGCCACCAAACAGCACAAGTTGAAAAAGCTAGTTACTAAGCCCTGCTGCAGAACCCCAGATCCTTGAAGACCACTTGACCCCTGGAGCTAGCTGCTGCTGAGGGGAGAGGAGAGGAAAGTGCAGTTTGTGCAGAGGACAGATGGAAATCGTGTCGCGTGTCTTTGCTTTGTGGTCCCTCTGCTCAGTGGCTTCTCTCGGGCTTCCAAGTGGCTCCTCACAAGCTGGACAGCAGGTCGGCGGCCTGTTTAGCCAGCCTCATCTCCCATTAATGGGAGAAATGTCCATCCTCTTTTATGGAGTTGATGAGCAATTGCTCGATGCTTTGTTTGTACCAGCAGAAACTCATTCAGAGAAACGTTTTTCTTCCTCAAGGCACCATGGATGTGTTATTTGAACAGTGCTGCGGAGTGGGCCTCCAAACACACATTTGTCCCAATGAGTATGGCTATAAACATGTACTAGGGAGACTGGGGTATTGTAAAGCTTAATCTCTTCACACATTATTTTTGTATCGGGATATTTTTAATATGCTCATGGACCATGGCCATATGCTTGGAAATTCTTGTCCTGGCTATTGCCCCACTCAGGCTTAACAAGTAAGAGTGCCAGTCTGGCAGAAAGAGAACAATGGGTCTGTGGATTTCTATGCAGACAAAAGCCAGCCTCGCCTCCATTCTTTAGGTAGCAAGGGCCTGTGTTATCCACCCCCTCTCCAGATGAACTCAGAGACTCGAGAAGATAATATGTGCAGCATAGTTTGCCGCTGTCTGTGAGCCCTAAAGGAAAATTGATGACATGGTATTAGGAGACTTTCTTCACGTAGCATAGGCATGTTGCACCATGTTCTTTGACACAAAGGGGAGACACAGGTTACCAAGTGTCAAAAAAGATGTCTGAGGAACAGCTGCCACCAGTGCAGTGACACCATTGCTGTGTTATGTGACCTTAGAGGCATCATTATGTGTGTTGAGCAGAAACATTTCAAAAGGCCCCGTTTGGTAGGTAAGCTGACCTGAGGCTGGGAGGGGAAGCACCGCAGGATCCCTGTGCTATGCATGTTCAAAAACTAAGCTCTGGTGGGCTGTCCCAACCCCCAGTGACCTCCCTGGCTAAAGTGGCCAGAAGGATTTAAAAGTTCTGTCGCGGCTGTGATCAACCTGGGTAAGATACTATTTCCTGATGACCAGGGGACAATTCCCACTAGGGGACAAGTCCTAGGGAACGGTTCTCCCAGGCCCCTGATCACCAGTGCAAATAGCTGTTCATCTTTGGATTCTTTATTTTGGAATTTCTGTTTCCCATCTTGCCACCATCCCTACACTGGAGGAGGCCTGCTGCTGGCTGATGTTGTCCACTTTAATCTAACCTTAATTAAATTTCAAAATTTAAGTGTCTTGCAATGGAAGAGGAATCTGCAGTATCAGCAGTATTATATTGCTTTACTGTGTCTGACTGCCCACCCCAGAGATTCACCAGCAGACAACTTTCAAGAGTGGACCTTGGAGTTTTCACTGTTGCTTAGTACTGTAGCAAATGATGCATTCGTGTGTGTGTTGGCATTACCTGCTTCTGATAGTTCCTGCGGACTATCCTTGTATCTGCTGTCTATATGAAGGATATAAACTTCTGTTTCATGTCCATATTTCCCAAACCTCACTAAGATTGCAAGCTTGACTTCTCCAGTTTAAACTGCATACCAAAGCCCAATCACAATGTGCAGCGTATCTGTGGCTCAGAAGAACACTGATAGGCCTCTTTTTCTCTGAGAAATTTGACTGCTGGGGGGAGGAGCAGATTGCACAGAACTTGCAAAACACTTCTAAATCAACTTGTAAGAGTACCAAATGAGCTGAGTAGGTATCTGGATGGGGGAGCACTTGCAGGGCCTGGGGAGGCTCTGGGTACTGTGCCTGGTATGTGGGTCACTCGGACCGAGCTGAGCAGTGACGTGTCGCAAAGCGCTGCCACACTAACAAGCTGCACTTCTCTCCCACAGCCTGGCTCCCGACCGGCAGCACAGAGTGGCAGGCACTCGGTGTCCGTGGAGGTGCAGGTCCAGAGGCAGCGGCAAGAGGAGCGCGAGAGCTTCCAGCAGGCCCAGCGCCAGTACAGCTCCCTGCCTCGGTAGGTGACCCCCGCCCCAGGCCTGGGAGCCATTCCTTCCCAGTGGGTGCCGCTTCTCCAGCTTGCATCCGACAGTGACAGAGGCTACTTAGCTGGCGGAGGGCACATCTCCTGTACAGGAAGACAGACACATCCCAGGATGCCAGCCAGCATCTCTGCCCCACCACTCTCTTACCCAATGTGCAGTGACACCCTGTGAACACCAGGGTGGGGTCAGATCTGTCTTCTGGTATGCACTCTGGTTTCTGTGTGGCTGTGGGAAAAGCTTTGTTCATCTGAGAAACTAGGAGAAGACTGTTCTTTTGTCCTGCCCCTGGGGTGACGAGGATGGATGATGCTTTGTTCATCTAGCGCTGTGAAAGGAGAGATACTTTTGTGGAATCAGCAATGGTAAACCACACTGTCGCTGTCCCACCGTTCATATGGTGGCTCGTGTGGGACATCAGAGGGTCCCAGTGTGTCGGTGCATTTCCTGATGACCAGGCACAACAGGCTTGTCTGGTGGGCATCCCAGGGGCGGTGCCTCTGTTCAGGTGTGCTTGGTCAGAAGGCGGGAAGCCTCTCAATAGCCTGGGCTCCAGAGCGCTGAGCCAGCAGCCATCCTCCCACCCAGGTGTTTCTTTCAGGCAACTTATAGTGAAAAGCAAATGTGGGAAAACATTTACCTTTACAGACTGCTCCCAACAAATCACTCCTATAGTCAGAATTTTTCCAGATGCTGTTTGTCCTATTTCAAAACCAGGTGACAATGACATTTTCAGTGTCAGAAGATCCATTTGCCATACTGATGTCAAGTAGACTCTTGCATTTGAAGGAAAGGGTTTCTGGGGAGGTAGATGCCTGTCTGTACTTGAGCAACCCATGGAAAAGTGATCCTGATTCGGTTTCTTACAAAGGTGAATCCCTTCACGCGCTAGATCATCACTATGACAACCATGAGGACATCACACTGGCAGGGGGCAGCTGAAAAAGCAGAACACGGATGTGAATGAAAGTGTTCACCAGGATGACTGCCATCCAGTGTGACAATGCGTTCATTTGGTTGTTCATTTTTAATTCATAAGATTGTCTCTTGGGCCTTTGAATAGCAGGACTGCCCATTAGCAGTTCTGTAGCCCACGCTAGATGGGAGTCATTGAAGGTTAGTTCTGAACAAGTCCTGAGCTGTCACACTGTTTAGAAAGGAAACAGATCAGAGAAGTGAAGTACCTTCCCTCGAGGTCACCCTGTAAGTCCTTGAGCCAGAACTCAAACCCACAGCTGCCCATGCCCTAATTCATTCTTTTAGAAGGCTCCCTGCTACTAAGGGCTTTTGCTCCCAATTCAGGTGTTTTTCAGGTATCAAGTTCTCCTTGATGCTCTGCTAACCTTGGACCAGTGATGGTGAACTGTCTTGGTTCATCAGGCCCCAAAGCGGCAACCCAGTACTCACTTTTTAAATCGCCAAGTGCAAGCACTGCAGTTAAATCTGAATGCTTGTCTGCGGGGGCAGCGTGGCTTGCCTGCCGACAGGGAGGGCTGCACACATGGCATAGGCTCACCACCACCAACCTCGGAGAGTTTGGAAGGAAGCCACTGTGTGACTCAGCCCATGTGGCTCAAATGCTAAATGCCCAGCCTGCCTGGCTTGGGTCCCCTCAGAAAGGTGACCATGATCGACAGCCTTGGGTGGCCTGGACTCCCCGACCACGGGGTGGCCACAACTGTGCATGGCTCCTGTAAATGGAGTCACGGGGGCCCCCTTCTGGTCTTATCAGAAAGTTCTTGGATTTATATATTTCCCTGTGTTAAGATTATTTAATGAGAAATGCAGGGAAATGCAGAAGGCTGGGGAGGGATGGTGGCGGAGCAAGCCTGGCAGGCAGGCAGCCAGGTCCAAGGCCCCTGTCCTGCAGAGAGGAAGAGCCAGGCAGGATTCCCCAGCTTCAGTCTCTTCCCAGGCAGCTTGTATAGTGCAAACTGAGCCCTTCAGCCCCATCTCTTCCCCATTCTCCACCTGTTCTTTGAAAGGTAATTGTAATACTTTAAAAAGGTTGAGCTGGGGAGATAGTTTGGCAGTCTAAGTGCCTGCCTGGCAAGTGCAAGGACCCAGGTTTAATCCCTGGTATCAAATGCCATATTGTCCTAGAAACCTGGGCATGCTATGGTGGCGCACACCTGTAATCTCAGTGCTGGGGCAGCTGAGACAGGAGGATCACTACAGGTGAGAGCAGCGTAGTGAGATCCTGTACCAGATACGTACATAAAAGTTTAAAAAGGTACAAAGTGACATTTACTTTTTTAATTTAAAAAATTTTAATAGAACAAAAGATAATTTAAAAAAGTTAGAAATGATAATAGAATTTCACTAAAAAATGATAGGAATTCAACAATGGTTGTTATATTGCCTGTTGTTGTCTGCAGATTAATTGTCTAAATTACCAAATATATGCATGCAGAATTGGTCAAAAAATTAAAAAGCTGGGAAATAAAAAAAGTTAAGCATTAGCTGTTCCTGTCAATAGACCAGTAGAAATCAGCGGTACAGTTATCCAAGCTGTCAGGTGCACATACTTATATATTTTCCCTTCCTTTATGTTTTCCTTTTCCTCATCCTATTTGTTCCTTCCCTCTGAACAATTTCTTTTCATTTCACAGTATCTATTGTACCTTTCAGATTTTATTTACTCTTTCTGGTGTTTACACCAGGGAGACAATATGATGTTACACACGTGGATCTGATTTATTTCATTTATGAGTATGGTCTCTAGTTGTATCCATATATCTATAAAAACATCTATTACTTAGTTTTTATAACTAAGTTTTTATAACTAAGTAATACTCCATTGAATAAAAATACCACATCTTTTTTATCTATTCCTCAGTTGGTGGGTATTTGGTTTGTTTCCAAGATTTAGCTTTTTCACCCCAGAAAGAATAGCTAGCATCAACAAGTCAACCAATAACAAATGCTGGAGAGGCTGTGGGGAGAAAACAACCCTTCTCCACTGTTGGTGTAAGTGGAGACTGGTACAGCCACTATGGAAATCAGTGTGGAGATGCCCCAAAAACTAGGTTTTGAGTTCCCATTCAACCCAGCTATTCCCCTCCTGCATATTTTCCGAGAAATACAAAAAACATCATACCACAGTGATATATGTGCACCCATGTTTATAGCAGCAAAATTTGTCATAGCTAAATCTTAGAAGCAAGGTGACATGTAATACGTGGATATAAGTATAATGATCTGATCGAAGTAATTGTAATATCTGTTACCTCAGACACATGAGTTCTTTTTGTTCAGAACATTCAAACCCTCTTCATTAGCTATGTTGAAATGTCCCCTTAGTGGGTGTCATCCAGCTACCCAACAGTGCCCCTCTTCCCTGCTAACACCCTACAGTGCCTGTTTTCTCCTGGACACCCCTCTCTCCCCTCTCCCTACTCCCTCTGTCTCCTCTGAAGCACCAGTAGCACTGTCCACATTGACAAGCAGGAGCTGCTGCTGCTGCTAGTCCTGCTGCCATTTTTTAGGTCCCCCCCAAAAAAAAACAAAACAAAACAACAGCAAAAAAAAACTTTCCCTCTGGATAATTGTAGCTCCATATTTTTAGTTATTTAAATCCATTTAGATAAGAGAAAAGCAGACCTCCCAGAATGAAGTTAGGTGAGTGTTGGCAGGAGAGGCCAGCCGCCTCCCTAATCACATTCCTCTCTTCTTTCGGAGAGTAACTTTGCAGTGCACATCTGTGTCCTCACTGCAGGGACATGAGGGACGGAGACCCCAGGCCCTGCTGGGCTTCGTTCCTCCATAGTAGCCGGCACTGCTTACAGCAGGTTTTGCCTACATGGTCCAAGGAAAGGGAGGAGCTCAACCAGGCTGCGGGGCCTCGCAGCACCCTAGGAAGCCACAGCCAGTTCCAAGTTCCAGGCATGTTCCTCAGAGACACATGACCTGTGCTTTTCAGATGTTGACAATTAGCTGGGTTTTGACTAAACAAGTCAGGATGACATTTGAAACCAAAAAGATTTCACACGCATGCACGTGCATGTGCGTACACACATTCATTTACAAAGTGGAGCATAAAATAAAACAAATGGTCAAGGCTTAGTATCAGTTGCATTAGATAAGGTGGTTTGAATTAGAGGGCTGTGTGTAAGCCAGGCAAGTTTGTAAATTGGAACCATAATTAAGGAAATCCATGGGCAGAATGTGAGTCCCATTTTGAAATATCAACAAGAAACACTAACCAGGTGAAAGTACCTCCCATGAGTTTGGGAGGCAAAGAGGACCCGAGTGGCCCCACACTCACTCTGCATCAGAGATGGATGTTTTCCATTTCATTCCTAAATGAGTTCCTTTCCCCAGTATCCAAAGGCAGCTCTGAAACAGCAGAGCTGTAGTTACTCTTAGAAAGACGTCAGATCCTCAGCAACCTGTTTCTTCGCAGTTTCATTTCCTCCTTTTTCTCTGCCCTGCCTGTGTGTCTGCCCTTGAGCTTCCTGCTTTGCTGCACCCCTCTTGCTGGGTCTCTGTCCCTGGCCTGGTCTCCCCACTACACCTTAGGTTGCGTCTCCATTCACCTGTCAGCCTTCACCCTTCGTCTCCCCGCTTCTCTGAGCCCCACTTCAGGACCAGAATCCTGCACTTAGGTCTTGAATCTTCTGTTAAAGGCCTGCAGAAAGGGAGGTGTAATCATCAGATGGGTTGATTTCCACGCCTGGGCGTGTGTGCTGAGAACTCTCTGGCGGGCTTGCTGCAGCACCAAGCAAGCTCAGTGTGTGGTGGAGAAATCCACGGGAAGCAGAGCAGTGCTTTGTGGCCTTTGACTGAGGTACCCTGGGAAATTAAGAAGAGGAAGTGCTCCAAGGACGAGCCTTTTCTCATCTCCACAGTAGTGTTTGTTGCTCCCTTCATTGCACCACGTTACTCTCTGTGCCCACTTCAGCTCCATGATCTCCATCCAACACTGCAGACCAAGGAAGAGAAAGTTTGCGTTTTCCTTAGCGTACTTCTTTGGCAAAAAAAGATGTCCCCCATCCCAACCCCCAATAGCAAAACTATCATCTTGAAACTGCTCCCCCAGCATCTGTTCATCAGTAGGTTAAAGTGTTCTGGGGACTTTTCTGTGCATTTTATATATTACATTCCATTGGTTTTTCTTCACAACTCCAGACGGTCAGATACCATATTCATTTTACAGCATGTGGAACTTCCCAGGGTCACCCAGCTGGCAGGAGGTGATTTCAGAGCTGAGTCTGTGTCTTTCTGCTCCTGAGCCCCTCACCCCTAGGTCTTGCTGACTGGGTTTCTACTGTAGGGAATTCTTCTTGTCTGCTTTCTCTTCTTGGTCACTACAACTGGCTTCTCTCTCATCTTTTCCTTAATCAAGAACTTGTTGATACCAGTAGCGTCCTCACCAGGAGGTGTGGAGTGTTTGCACATCTGGGTCTGCGTGTTTGCGTCAGTCCTAATGTCAAACCTTGAGGCAGCGTGCTTCCTTCTCTGTATACTGAATTAATTGAAGGAAATTAATGACTACGAGAAATACTTCAACTTCAAATTAATTGGAAGAAAATTTTAACTACCAGAAATTCTTTCTCCTACATCACCATATTTCCATCCCTAATAATTCTTGGTGTATTTAAATATAGACTCTGGGCTGGGGAGATAGCTTGGTGGTCTAAGTGCCTGCCTGGTAAGCTCAAGAACCCGGGTTTGATCCCCCGTACCACATGCTGTAATGGCCCCATGCCATGCTGGCCACTAAAACTGGGTGTGGTGGCCTATAATCTCAGCCATGAGGAGGCTGAGATAGGAGGATTGCTACAAGTCTGAGATGCATAGCAAGACCCTGTACCAAATCAATCAATCAATAAATCTTTTTTAAAAATATTCAGTATGCAATGTATTAATTATTGAAACTGTGCTAGCAATCAGTTTTGAAACTCTCATTGCTATTTCTCAATAAAATTATTTTTTAAAAATATAAAAAAATTTAAAATCTTAAATATAGACTCTGTCTTCTCAGACGATCTAGAATTCAACTCACAATGCACAACCACCATAACATGACAGTGTGGGCCTCACGGATTTAGGAGGAAGAGGGCTTGTGGATCTCGGTAGACTAAGGATAAGAAAGAGGTGAAGTTCCTGCAGCTAATTTCTCATTATTTTTAAATTGATAACTAACTCATAAAGGAATCTCCCCCTTGATTCTGTGATATCAGTAACAAGTTCGTTGTTTTAATTAAAGTTTCATGATTAAGGTCAAATCCCTAGTCTCGTGCTGACACTTTCCATCATTCATGTCCCTGAGCAGATTAATTTATGCCTTTTTAAGTGGAGATAATCAGTGCTTTAGGCAAATAAACTATCCCATCAAATCTGAGTATTCTTGCTCAGGCTGAAGATACAAACGGTCTGACTCCTAACTAAAAGAGAGTGGGATAAATACTCTGTTGTCTGGTCAGTTGATCATTGTTAGATCCAAAAATGGTGCTGGGTATAGAGTTCATGTTCCTTCTCTTTTTTAAATGTATTTGGTAACACGCCTGGTATCAGTGGCCAGCTCAGCATGCCCGGCGGTGGGGCTGGTGTGGCGTGTGGTACTGGGGATGGAGCCCCGGCCCCTGCGCTTGCCTAAGCTCAGTGATTAGTTGCTCAGCTATCTCACCAGCCCTCATTTCCATTTTGAAAACCTGACTGATAACATTTGAGACCATACAGAAAATGGGCAGATTGTATCTCATCTCAAGCCATGTGGCCGGCATTTCAGAATGTTAGAAATACACCCTGCTCCATTCCTGCGGGAGTCTCAGTGGCTTCCCGGACCTGGATTTCCTCTCATAGCCAGGAATCCTTTTGAACATTGAGCTGTGTTGTACATACTGATGTGGAAGGCTGAACACTGAGCAATGCAGACTGTTGGCAAATGATTTTCTTATTGATAAATGGGGCAATATATTTTGCTTTATTACTCAATTGTCTGTTCTACCTCTTCCATTTTCAAGGCAGAAAAATTAGGGCATGTCTTCCTTCCTTGCACAAAATTGTTTTACTTTATCACAGCCTATCTTATTGTAAATTCACAAAAGCATCTAGAGACTTGGTAGTAAATTAAAGATGTTTCAAAACAATAATGTTTCTTGAAAATCATGTGCAGTTTTATTGCAGAAGTGATAAGAATTTGAAATTTCTAGATGACTCTAATTTATGTCCCTATCCCCGGATGGCAGTGAGTGAATTGAACAGGTCATCCTGGCCTTTGGTGACAGCCAACTGCGCACCCCTGACCCCAGGTTGTCTGTTCCTGGTGAGCAGATGCTCTGTGATGACCACTTGCTGGAAGAGCCTGCCTATTGCATTTTTAATCCCAAAGGAGTCTAGATGTAAATCTTTCATAGCCAAACTCACATTGCAATCCATTACATGTACTTCATATTAGCTATTGTTTCTGGCATTACGGTGGCAGCTGTGTAAAATATTTGTTTTGCTTGTTTAAAATTGAATTGTAACATTCTAAAGCAAGCAGCAATTACTGCTGCAGAAGATGTTGCCAAATCTCTGAGGCTTCTGTGCTGGCCAGTGCATCTGAATTGCAGGAGAGATTGTTACCCTCAGCATGACAGACAGTACCGAGCCAGACGCAGGAGGAGCAGGGCCCCATTTCTAAGTGGCTGGTGCACCTGCTTCTCTGTCCCACTCAGCCAGTGTCTGAGGGATTGCCCACAACAGTGAGCTTGCTGAGGACAGCTATGGAATTCTCTGGCGTGGTATCGAGGGCGTGACTGGAATGTGGCCCTGCTTGCCCACGCATGAGATTGCATCTTCCGTCTCATCCCCTGCCCTCCTCCCAGCCTTCACACTGACCTTTGGCCTTTGCTTTCCAGGCAGAGCAGGAAGAATGCCAGCTCGGTGTCCCAGGACTCCTGGGAACAGAATTATCCCGCTGGCGAGGGCTTCCAGAGTGCCAAGGAGAACCCCCGGTACTCCAGCTACCAGGGCTCCAGAAACGGCTACCTGGGTGGGCATGGCTTCAATGCCAGGGTCATGCTGGAGACCCAGGAGCTCCTGCGCCAGGAGCAGCGGCGGAAAGAGCAGCAGATGAAGAAGCAGCCCTCACCCGAGGGCCCCAGCACCTATGACTCATACAAAAAAGTGCAGGACCCCAGCTGTCCCCCGCCCAAGGGGCCCTTCCGGCAGGATGTGCCCCCATCCCCCTCTCAGGTCGCCAGGCTGAACAGACTCCAGACTCCTGAGAAAGGGCGGCCCTTCTACTCCTGAGTGCGAACAGGGCCATTTCACATCATGCAATAAAGGACGCTTTCCTATGAAGACTTGTATTTTGGGAGATTTTTTTTTTTTAAATAACCTCGATGGTACTATGGAATATTTCTGTTGTTGGTATCAGTGCCTTTATGAAATGTGGGCAAAGAAGTAGAAGGCCTTAATGTCTTTGCCACTGCATCTCAAGTGTCTAGTTCATGGAAGGATCTCCACCCTGACAATCATCCCTCTGAGGCGTTTGTCCACCCTGCATCTCTCTGGAGCTCTGGGGTCCTGGCCCCGGCGTAGAATGGCCATGGCTTTGTTCCTGCAGCCTACTGTACCTGAGGTGATGGGCTCACCTGAAGCTGAAATGTCATTGATCCCTCTTTTCCACCTGCTGTCTCTCAGCTCAGAGCAATAGCTCAGTCTCGGGTGGGTAAAAGTGGACAACATGCTCCAGAACTGGGGCTTTCTAGGACTTCCCAGCACAGTCCTTTATTTGTAGCCAGTATGATTTTCTGTTTTCTTTCTCAGCTCCTTGAAAAAGGAATGCTCCGTCCTTCTCTTACAGACACTAAGCCATATGCCAGCGCTGTTTGGTTAGTGCGGTCCTTTTGTAACTGCCTTATACCTTTCCCAATGCAGTGATGATTCAAGTCTGTTTTTATAAATACACTTGTTTGGTCACTTTCCCAACGTGTGTTGGGGCAACAGCGATCTGCACGGGGAATGGGGACACAGGGGTGACCTGGGTGGGGACTGGGCCTGCCTCAGGCCCTGTGGGCACCTGAGGTAAAAAAGGAGCTGAGAAAGGAATGAACGCTCCCAGGTGGAGCTGTGGGCCGGTGCACTCCAAGCATTATTTGAATTCTTTTTTGTTGTGGCAAGCAGGGCGGAGAAGGAAAAGCATATGCATCAGCCATGTTTGCACTGTAAGAACGGAAGAATTGACATTGGTTGAAATTGCCATGTGTCTAGCACATCCACGCACACTGTATCCCTGCCTGGCGATACAGGGTCGCTAAATAATTCTGCCATGAAACAAAAAAACAAAGAAGGGAAAAGCCATTCCACATCACACAGAGAACATTTTGGTGTCCCAAAGCAGTGGTGACAAAAGCTCGCCGTGGGGTCAGTATTTGAGTGCACGTGTGGGTTGCGAGGCCCCTGGTCGCCCCCCTTTCCATCTGTTGCTCTGAATGTCTTGTATTGTACACCATGGCCGGGTTGCTAAAGTGCCTGTGAATCCTGATGTGAAACAAAAGCTTGAGATGAAAGCTCAGAGTACCATGTATTAAGAAAAAAGATATGTATTGTATTGATATGCCTTTTTTTTTTTTTACTGGCACATTGTATTTTTGTGTCCACTTTTTTTAGAAAATATGTGAAGTGTCCACATGTACCTGCGTCTCCTTTGCATTTCTGTGTACTGGTCCTATTTGTTAATAATGTGCATTGATGTTATTAAATGGTGTCACCAAAGTGGGGGGGGGCGATCTTGGATGATAGCGGCTCTTTCTCACAGTCTTCAGAGCTGTGGGAAACAGTTTTCCTTGTATATATGAGACTTTTAATAAAAGGCATATTTCCTCCTGGTCATTGTCATGTCTCAATTTTTTTTTGTAGAATCTCTCCTTGCTGGGCAGCATGATTGTAAGTATTTTAGCAGGTGGAATTTTATTTAAAAAAATATATTTAGTCCAAGTAGAAAGTTTCTGCATCTCTCCTTGTATGCCAACACAGAAATGGGTGATGGATTTCTTGCTTGAGTATGTGGGGAGACAGGAGCCCCTGTATGCGGAGTAGTGCATAAGGCAGAGCTAAAGGAGCCAGTGCTCCAGATCTCTGTGAACAGAGATGGGACGGAAATCAGCATGGTATCTCTCGTGCTGCCTTTGGGTCATTGGAGAAGCCAGCTGTTTCCTGGAGTCCCAGCCTCATGTATTGTGAGCTGGCAGTAAAGTCCAAATTTTAGTCTATTTCCAATACTAAACTGGCTCTTATTTTCCAAATCATGCAATAAGATTTTGCTATTTCTTTTCAACAGACACTCATCAATGTCTGTATGGTGAGGGCTGGCCAGATAGCTCAGTGCATTAAAGTGCCTGCTTAGGCAGAGGCAGGGGCTGCACTTTGATCCCCGGTGTGCCATGCCGCCCTGCCCCCAGAGTGCACTGAGATGGTGATTGAGACTGGGCGTGGTGGCATGCTCCTGTAATCCCAGTGCTTGGGAGGCTGAAAAACAGGATCACTAGGAGTCTGATCTATGTAGTGAGACCCTGTAGACCCTGTACTACATTAAAAAAAAAAAAAGGCTGTATGGTATTTTGAAAACATGGAGGACAGACAATCCCTAGGGATGTGTAGGGCACACATGGAGAGCTTCTCAAGGGCAGTGCGAAGAGCCCTGTGGGTAGAGCGCTTAACACCTACCAGTGGTTCTCCCAGCAGCCCCCTTCCTGTTACAAAATCTAAATTATGTCACCTCGAGATCTGTAACTAGAGGTGCGTGGCAAGCTGAGGAACTGTCACATTTTCCGTTCTACCCTGCATGCCAGGTGTCAGGAGGAAGGGAAGATAGACAGATTTGTTAATTTTCTCTCGGACCAGGAACCCCAGTGCCAATGCCAAAACACACAGGTTATTCATCTCAGCTGACAGCAAGAAGCAGAGCAGGAAAGGCACCACTGCATGGTGTGGGCACCTAAATCACAAAGGCATTTGTGGATTAAAGTTGACAAACTGGGCCACACCAGGAGGAGGAGGATGGACAGACCTGCGTCAGCATTAAGTCTAAGAGGTACTCTCGGTCACGCCCGTCTGCATGAACCCACACCTGGGCCCAGCACTTCACAGGACTTGAGAGTCATCCAGGAGGTGTGGGGGAAGTGTCCCGAGAAGAGCCAAGGCAACCAGGGAGAAGGCCCATTCCACAAAGAGGGTAGAAGGGAGCTCTCGCTCATAGGATGGAAGAGGGATGACTCTACTGCCCCTTGCAGAAAATGGCCGCACCGTGCTGTTATTAACACTCTCCGTCCATTAAGACCATAGTCACAAATACTTATAAATGTAGTTGGTAAAAATACAATCATTAGCTGTATCTCACTATAATGAAATATCTGGCACAAAATGATGAAGTAAAGAGAGGTTCATTTTGGCTCCTGGTTAAAGAGATTTCAGTCCAAGGTGGGGTGGCCTGACTGATCTGAGCTGCTGGGTGGCCAGACTTCCTGGTAGAAGCATCTTGAAGCAGCAAGAGCAGAAGTGGAGAAGAGCCCAGGTTCCCTAGTCTCCTTGAAGTACAGTCCAGGGACCTGAGAACCTCCCACCTGGCCCAGCTCGGGGGGCAGTTTGTTGTTATTTGTTTCCTGTTTTTTGAGAGAAGGTCTCACTGTATAGGTCATGCCAGCCTTGAACTCAGGTAGCCCAGGCTTAGGCCCACCTCTTAAAGCCTCCCACCACCTAATTAACACCATCATGGTGATTGACTGTTTAACACAGCAACCTTTGGGGGATACTCAAACCGCAGCGATAATATATGTGCAGTATAAGTACTTTAAGTGATTAACCCACCACCACCCTTACTCATACACACATACACTGTGTGGTTAGGTAGAACAAAGCCAGCTTGGAGGTCAGTGGACAGAATGGTCCTTCCTAATGGTGGAAGAGTAGGACCTAGATGTCTGGGGCTTTCTACCAAGGAGATCAAACAGGTCCAGTGGTAGAGACTACACCAAATGACTGTTGTTTATTGTTGAGTAGGGAGACCTGCAGCAGTCTACCCCCTTTTGAAAACACGAAGTGCAGCAGACTGACCCCACACGGTGCAATGTCTTTTGTGATCTTCTGCAAAGGTCTGAGGAGGAGATGGCACAGGGGTCACAGTGGCTCTCTGTCCACCTTATGCTTCTGGATTTTCTCACATGTTGGGGTCACCCATGAAATCACTGCACTCCTCCAGCTGTTTTTATTTAAAAGTGCAGCTGTTTATGCATCCTTATACCAGGCACTGGTTTCATATGCAGCGTGCACCGGTAATTCTGTATTTGGTTGTCTGAATACAGAATTTCATCCTGGGGATCCTGAAAACTCACGTGTAGCCACCCAGGCGCAAACACTAGATAAAGCAGACAGTGCTTTGTCTCTGGCTTGCTTCACTAGCCATGGGAGAATACGCCACTAAAGGGCTCCTAACTACCTCTGAAAAATAAAGGTCCTTCTTTGGGTGGCATTAAATTTAAGTGTCTATTTAACAGCCAACTCTTTTTCCTTCTATTTTCTTCTTCCTTTTTTCTTCATTTGGAACAAAGATTGCTGCGATGATGACATGTCAGGTAAGGAGCTAATCTTCCTTTCTTCCTTCAAAGACAGGATATCATCTTAATAAGGCAGCTAATAAGAGCATTCACAGGTCAGCATGGGAGTGACGGGGCTGCTTTAATGGAAATCCACCTTCAGCTCTGAGTAATGATTAGCTCACAGGGGCTGGCTGAATTAAATTGACTTTAAAAAAACTTCAGGGGATGAGGGTTATAATCCTGAACATAAGCTTTCTTTTCCCATTTTTAAAAACAAGAAACTGATATTCTGCTTCCCATCTCATCAGTCTGAGGGAGGTGATTGTTGCCCAAACAAGCAGGAACTCCTTCCCCATTAGCTGGTTTCTCGTCTCCCATTACCTTTGGGGCCAGCGCCCGTTTCCTACCGGCTCTTCCACAGTGTTCATATCCCAGCTGGCAAAGGGAGACATCTGTGGGTCTCCTTTGTCCATTGGTTTCATTTTTCAAGGTTGCCTCCTCCAGGAAGGAATTGCTCTTTAGGGATTCCATTGTGGGTGCTATAAGGTTAGGAAACCTTTGCTCCAGAGAATATTCACTCTTCTCCACTGTCTTTTACCCTTTTCTGAGCTCGGATTTCAATGATCCATTTTTATTTTCTGATTTTTTTTTAAGCAAACTATCTTCCTTAGTCTCCCTCTCCTCAGAGAGACTCACTGAATCCTGCACACTGAGAAAATGCAGACTGGAAACCCAGGCCCAGGCTGGTCCTTGCAGCTGAGCCAACAGTTACATGTCTTTCTTTTTGGAACATCAGCTCCCAGGACAATGAAATGAGTGAAAACTGCCCTTTCTCTGCATCGCTCTGCAGACTACGGAGTCATCTCACACTGGGGCTGCCTTGGGAAAGGCACGTGGAGTTCATGTCTTGACACTGCTATCCTCGTGAGCCTACTGTCCTTGGGTCACCAGGCTGGGCAGATGCTAGAAGGTAGCGAAGTCGCAGGAGCCAGCCTGTGTCCCTACAGGCCAGTGCTGCTGCTTGCTAGAAGGTGCCTTCTGAATTCAAAGCTGGACTCCCATCAAGGATTTTATGAGAGAATATTTTATGAACAACTGTGAAGGTTTTACCATTAGAAACAGTCTCACAGGGCAGGAGCCCAGCTGACTGCAAAGTACGGGGGTGGAGAGGTCAGTGCCATGCGTTGCTCTCAGGAACAAAACGGGTTTCTAAAGCAGTGGTGACCTCAACCAATGATCTGGGTGCAGAGCTTGGTTCATACTGGACTCATGCAGCTTTAGCTGTCGGCAGCCTCACCATCATCACGCGGCTGTTTCTGTAGAGATGGCCTGGGCAAAGCACCAGCCCAACAGTGCAGACATGGGTCAGATGAGGGCTTGCCTGAGAAGGCGGGCTGCTTTGCACACAAGCAACCCTTTGACATCCTCATGTGAAGCCTCACAGCAGCTCTGTACTGCACCTGCCCCCACATGCAGCTTCATTCTGAGTTTTCTGGGTTTCATCTGCCTGGTTTGACCCCATCTGAGCCCAGAGAGCTCCCACCCCTGCCTGTGCAGCAGTGCCTTCCCTCAACACCTGAACCCACAGCGGGGACGCACAAGCCACCTCTGCCTTCCCACTTTATTTGGTTGATTTATT